TTCATTTGAGTACATGTAGTTCATACAGGAGGAAGTTATTATGTTCCTTTCTGAGTGTTATATCAGCTGAATGTAATCTTTTCACCCAGTTTAGTATAGCTGCAGGCAGGGGCGTAGCTGGAAATTCTGGGCCCCATGAAAGAATCTATTTGTGGGCCCCCACGCTAAAAAAAAATTGGCCATTTATTTATTGATGAAAACGCATAATATGGTTTTTACCTATACATTCGGATCAGCAGTTCAGCACCTGAACTGTTGGTGGGTGAGCCTAGTAAAGGATGTCGCATCAAACGTCAGCTAACCGCTAGCTAACATAAAGAGTGACCTGTAATTCAATGCAGCGAAAATGAAGAGAAGGTGATGATTATAAATGTGTTTTATTGTATCTCTCAGTGGATGTCTGCTCACCACCTCAAGCTCAACCTTGACAAGACTGAGCTGCTCTTCCTCCCGGGAAAAGATTGTCCCACTCTTGACCTAACAATCAACATCGGCACCTCAGTTGTTTCCCCGACTCAGACTGCAAGGAATCTGGGTGTGACCCTAGATAACAATCTGTCCTTCACTGCAAACATCGCTGCTACAACCCGTTGCTGCAGATACACGCTTTACAACATCAGGAGGATACGTCCCCAGCTGACTCAGAAAGCGACTCAGGTTCTGGTCCAGGCTCTCGTCATCTCACGCCTAGACTACTGCAACTCCCTCCTGGCTGGTCTACCTGCATGTGCCATCCGACCTCTGCAGCTCATCCAGAATGCAGCGGCTCGTCTGGTCTTCAACCTTCCTAAATTCTCCCACACCACTCCGCTCCTCCGCTCCCTTCACTGGCTTCCGGTAACTGCTAGAATCCACTTCAAGACACTGGTACTTGCTTACCATGCTGCAAATGGATCTGGCCCTTCCTACATCCAGGACATGGTTAAACCGTACACCCCAGCGCGTGCACTACGCTCTGCATCAGCCAAACGACTCGTTGCGCCCTCGCTGCGAGGGGGACCCAAGTTCCCATCGGCGAAAACACGTGGATTTGCTGTCCTGGCTCCAAGATGGTGGAATGAGCTCCCCATTGACATCAGGACGGCAGATAGCTTGCACATCTTCCGGCGCAAACTGAAAACTCATCTCTTTCGACTCCACTTCGAGCGTTAGAACTATTAACGAAGCACTTTTATACTAATAAAGGACTGGCTTACCTAAAGCCAGTTGAGTAGCACTTGAAATGTTTGGCTCTATGAAACCTGATGTACTTATATGATTCTGTTTTCTTCAAGGTTGTGTCTTCCTGGTCGAATGTACTTATTGTAAGTCGCTTTGGATAAAAGCGTCAGCTAAATGCAATGTAATGTAAATGTAATGTAATGTATTGAGTGGTAGAAGTAAAGACATGTCTAACATATTCTTTGTTTGAACAACTTACTGAAAAGGTCTGCCACCAATGACAGACTGGTCGCGGTGATTTACACTCAGCCTACCTGCATCAGGACTGCTGTGGGTAGGAGGCAGTTGATCAAACCATTGTGAGCGAAATGCGGGGGGGGGGTCACAATCTTTGGAAACTTAAAAACTCGCTATTAAGTGTCTATAATCAGCACAAGTTATTTCATTGCGTATTATTAATTCGATTGAAATTACATACTTATGTTTACAGTGATATATTGGGGGGGACATATCATATTTTTCATATGATCAAAAAGTGGGGGTGCAAAAGCACACGTTTGCTCCCCCAAGGTCAATTGTGGGGATGCACCTGCTCCGCTTGCTCCATTGCTCAGGCGCCCATACCATGCAATGAATGAAGGGAGGGGTGCTCATTCTGTCAAACAGAGTAACAAGCACCTGTTTGTTTCTTTTGTGACGTTTTTTTTTAATACAGGCAATTATACTTTTGAGTCATCTACATTAACTTACTTTAGGATAATAATAAAACCATATTAATAAAAAGATAATAATAGTGTTCTCTGGCCCCCCCCCCCCAGTGCTGGGCCCTTGGAATCATCCTAACCTCCCCCCCCCAGCTACGCCCCTGGCTGCAGGACAGACTTTGATGTGATGCCCTGAGGTCATAAAGTGGTCTTCAGCAGAAGGTGAAACGGGTGAGCCCGTGTGATCATAAGGACTGAACCACATCAGCTGATGCTGCTGCCTGTAGCAGAGTCTGTGGATAGAGCCAACACTGTTTCTCTAGTTCGCAGACTGAGTTTATCAGCACACATGTTAGGGCTGTGCGATTATGGCAAAAATCATAATCACGATTATTTGGGTCAATAATTGATATCACAATTATTTTGACGATTATTCATTGACCATTTATTGAACTTTAAAACAAATAATATTTTACCAATAAACAAGACCAAATATGTTGGAGCGCACTTCCAAAACCATACTAAACATATATTAATATGATAAATAAAAATAAATTAGACCAAAAGAAATGAAATCAAATATGATGCAGTGCACTGTCACAACCTACTGAAAACTCCTTAACATATAGCCAACATTTTGGTTCAACATATTCAACGAGATCGCGGATACAAGCGGCCGAGATGGGTTTTCTCCGCAGGGTGGCTGGTGTCTCCCTTAGGGATAAGGTGAGAAGTTCGGTCATCAGGGAGGGACTCGGAGTTGAGCCGCTCCTCCTTCGCGTCGAAAGGAGCCAGTTGAGGTGGTTCGGGCACCTAGTTAGGATGCCACCTGGGCGCCTCCCTAGGGAGGTGTTCCAGGCACGTCCAGCTGGGAAGAGACCAAGGGGTAGACCTAGGACCAGGTGGAGGGATTATATCTCTTCGCTGGCCTGGGAGCGCCTTGGGATCCCCCAGTCAGAGCTGGTTGATGTCGCCAGGGAAAAGAAAGTTTGGGGCTCTCTGCTGGAACTGCTACCCCCGCGACCCGACCACGGATAAGCGGAAGAAGATGGATGGATGGATGGATATTCAACATATTCCACTCAGTTAAACGTTGAAGGCTGGCCAACCGTCATGGTCCAGAAGTAACAGGAAATAAATGTTGAACTACAATTTAAGACCAAATAAAAATGTTTAGGCCACCATGGCAAATGCTGGTAGGGCTGCTCATGTCATCTCTTAAAGATTTTTTGCAAGAAACAACAGCCTGTTTACATGGTCTAGTTTCAGAGATGAGCGCAGGCAGGTGACAATATTGCCACCTGTACTGAAGACCCTCAGCCACGCTCCGACACATGTGACGCCGGCCAATCACAAAGCTTTGATGCGTTCAAGTGCATTATTTTGGCACAGGAAGATTATGTTACAGGACATTAACGATAAAACAGAATATTGTTGTTCTATTTTTAGACACATCTCGCGATCGACTGGTTGGGCACCCCTGGGCTAGACCATAGGTCTGTTGTGGTAGCAAAGTAGTCAGCTGAAGCCACATCTCTCTCAACTTCCCCACGGCATTTGTCATATAGTGCAGGCAGCGCAGACCTGCTGAAATAATACCGAGACGGCATCGCGTAACGCCTGTCCAACGTGTTGACAAGTTGCTTAAAGCCCTGGTTGCTAACAAATACTACTATAGTGGAAATAGTTTGACCCTTCTTTTTAACGAGTTGCTGCTCTTGTTCTGACATCTTCGCTCGCGCTGAACACTCAACACATGTCACTCCCACGTGGCCGAGTGGGCTTTTAGGGAGGGGCGAAAGGGCACCCAGCAAAATAATCGTATTTTGTCAATTATGCTGTTTTCATAATCGTCGCAAGCCATAATCGTAATCGCGATTAAAATACGATTAATTGCACAGCCCTAACACATGTCCTCACTTAGTAGAACTCTTAAAGTGAAATTATTCTTTGGGTGGTCAATTCAAGTCACACTTTGACGATCCTTTGACTTTTTATTTAGCTCTTGATGGATTGGCACACATTTTGGTACAAACATCCATTTTCCACAGAGGATGAAGCCTGTGTTATTTAGGGGGAATCCCGCTACTTTTAATTTGAACGTTTTTTTTTAGCAACCAGTGCCTTTATTGTAGAGACAGAGTTGAAACGGGGAAAGAGAGGGGATGACATGCGGAAAATGGTCCTGGTCCATATTCGAATCCGGGTCCTCCGTTACATCCCACTACATGGCCCAATCCTGTTTTTGTTGGCACCACCTGCAGTTTGCACATGTCATGCATGGTAGAATGTCTTGACATTGGGGACGGGTGGCACAGTGGTCTGTGCATCAGATCAAGGGGGAGTGCGTCAGGCCGTTGTGTCCTTGGGCAAGACACTTCACCCGGATTTGCTCCTGTGTGTATTGTCCACAGTACATGTATAATACCAATGTGTACTTGTAAAAGTGCCTCGATGACCTCGAGGCGTGAAGATGGACGGTGTGGCGCAGTGCGCTGTGCAATGATCATCAGATCAAGGGGTGAAACCCGCCGCTGCTGCGTCTGTAAAGCCGGTGTGTCCTTGGGCAAGACACTTCACCTGAACTTGCTCCTGTGGGTATTGTCCACAGTATCTGACCATTGATATGTGTAATGTGTGTATGTGTAATGTGTGTATATGTAAAGCGCTTTGAGTCATTGAAAAAGCGCTATAATAAATGTAAGGAATTGACCACTTTAATGGATGATAAAGCAGTTTGAGTGGAGACGTTTGTGATCTTTTTATCTGGTGCTTTCATACTTTGGTTTGTATATGTTAACGCTGATGTTCTTCATAATGAGTAATATAGCATTGTAGAGTCTTAGTCTTCGTTCCCATGTTGTCTTCTGGAAAGGTCAGTTTCATATGATTTGATTCTGTACCTTTTCATCAGTACCATGGAATAAACTGGCATTTTGGCTGGTAAAATGTTAACGTAACCTGCTCTTTAAATTGTAAGTAAATACAGTACAAAACAAGATGAAACCAGTCCCAAAAGTTGATTATTTTTAACCATAACCTGGTCAAAAGCTGTATTTCTTTGTACCTTAAGTGCTGTAGTATCGGTGTTCCACTGATCACTAAGTCTTCTTCTCTGTCTCTTTTTCTTTCCAGGTTATCCCTTCATCCCCGGCCTTGTGGATTTACACGCTGCGTTTATCTAAAGGGAAGTCCTATTGATTCTGCTCTCCATCAAGCCCACAGATTACAATGGAAAGGCCTTGATCACAGCTATGACAACACTGCATCGGAATAAAGTAGGACTAAAGTAGAAGAGTGACAGGAGTGACAGGAGTTTTTATTTTCAGCTGTTACATTTCAGTTATTTTTGGGACATCCAATGCTTACAGAGTTTTCTGTGATTCTAAGCATGTATTTTTAATTTGCTTTGATTTATTCATTTGAACCAGACACTCTTCTGTCTCTACGGTATAAACATCATATTCTGTAACCATGTACGGTAGCTCCCGTTCCGTCTCCAAGCTGGATGTTGTTGGTTCCAACGGTAACGGGTCGGTGTCTGGGAGCCCCGCGCGCTCCCCCCGCCTTCCCCGCTCCCCCCGCCTCGGACACCGGAGAAACAGCAGCAGCAGCTCCAGTGGACTCACAGGCTCCTGTAAGACCCTCTCCATGGAGAATATTCAGTCTCTGAATGCTGCCTACGCTACAGGGGGTCCGATGTACTTCGCTGACACACTTGATGATCCAATGGGCATCGGCAGCCTGGGCAGCGGGCTGAACCCCTCTGTGCCCAAAAACACCATGACGCTGGGCAGGGCGGGGGCCCGGGTGCCCTATGGGATCAGGGCGGCCGTCATGGGGAGCAGCCCTAATATAAACACTGGGGGAGGGGGAGGGATGATGCCCAATGATGCGATATCATTTGGGGGGGAAATGCAAAACCATCCCCCACAGGCGGCTACTGTGCCACACTCCATGAGACAGGTGAGCAGCGCGTTGTTGCAACTTTGAAGCCAAAGCAAACTACATTTGTATTTGTTGTCACTTACTCTATTTCATAATTGGTTCATGTCTGTGTAATTCTTGTTTTCAAATCTTTATGCCTTAAATATTTGACATATTGTTAAAAGTATGATAGAATGAACAAACAAATTTGACAAAACTAAAAAATTAAAAGCTGTGGTTGGACACTTTGACAGAAAATCACTTTATCTGAAAATGACTCGGTGACAATAGAGTGTTTTGTAAGAAAAAAAAGTCAAGAAGGACTAAATTAAAAGAGTGACGAGAGTATGTCTCTATGCAATTTTAAGCATGCATTTTTTTAGTTTATCAATTTGAACCAGATACTCTCCACAATATGTTCTTTCAGTTGGTTTTTCTAGGTGTAAAAACATGAATCCTCAGTTAAAATCCATTGCTATCTTTAAAGAATTTTGCTTAAAAAGTAAATAAACAGATGAGCTAATATGAAATATCCATAATCTGATAACCTGTGCAAATGAAATTGGTTTCTGGTGTGGAGAGTCTGTCTCACCTTTGAGATCATCGAATTACTCAAATTGCACACACACAGTTTTGAACATGAATTATCCTCATGTTTTACTTTGTTGTCTTACTGTTTAGGGTTTAATCTGTCTCTTAAGTCACATTTTAACTGCATGATAAGTAAGCTGTGTGGGTATCCATACAGTATGTTTAAAGGTCTTCCCTCCCACTCTGTTAGTCATAACCTGAAGGATCTAGCTCCTTCCTCTCTCATATCTCCCTCCCCCTCTTATTTCTAATTATTTCTCTTACAAAACAAATCCTTTCTTAATCCCTCCTTAACTCTTACTTCCTGCGCCAGCTACCAAAGTAGTGTCGCTTTAAAAATGCATCCTAGTTATTTGTAATACTTTGGTACACTGCTGTTTGAATGTCAAGATGAATTAAACATTGTTATGGGGAGCATCTTCCTATTAATAATGCAGTTGGTGTGTACTGTGTGAAAGCATTGTGTATGCAAATGGAAAACCTGAAACAAAGGTGTGTCGTAAAATAGGTTATTGTTATCAATACAAAATATATTTTCATGAATATTTGTATTTTTTGAGTTTGAGTTCATATTCATTTTCTTATATTCATTAGATCTTGCAGCACCAAAAGTAGGATATTGCTGTCCTAACATTTAACATATTTATTTTATTTACCAGGTGAGAGACGGTGCAATGTCAGACCTACAGTCGCAGTTAAGAGAAGTTCTGAGAGAGAACGAACTACTGCGCAGAGAAGTAAGGACACTCCAGACTCACACACTTTGATGAACCATTTTCATTTCCAATTTGTTTACGTTTGTTTACTGGTGTGTTCCCCTTGGAATTTAAAACAAAGTTTATAGCTATCATAACAAATAAAAGTCAGTGAATTGAATTAGTAATATAAGGAGGCAAATGTCTGATTTCTTTTAGCTGGAGGCAAAAGAGTCCAAGCTGAGCTCCTCTATGAACTCCATCAAGACGTTTTGGAGTCCAGAGCTGAAGAAAGAGAGGGCGCTGAGGAAGGACGAAGTCACCAAGATGGCCGTGTGGAAGGAGCAGTACAGGGTGGTGCAGGATGAGACGCAGGTAGGAAGGAGGCCTGGCTCTGTGTGTGTGTGTGTGTGTGTGTGTGTGTGTGTGTGTGTGTGTGTGTGTGTGTGTGTGTGTGTGTGTGTGTGTGTGTGTGTACACATTTTGTGTTTCTTTAGCACAAAACAGCAAAAGCGTGTTGCTCATTGTGAAAACCAGTGAAAAAAGGTACATGGATCAAAGTTCAATATATAAAAAACAATATCGATGCAGGATTGGGTTACTTTTTTTGAGTGGTGGATAGTAACAATGTACATTTAGTCAAGTACTGTGCCTAAGTACAGTTTTGAGGTATTTGTACTTTACCTGAGTATTCTTAGGTCGCATTCACACCTAATAGTCTGCTTCTCTGGTGCGCACCAGACATTACATTGTTTCATTTTTCAGAAGGTTCGGTTTGCGTTCACACGGGCAACACTCAAACGGACTATACACTTTAAACACAAGTGACGTGCACGGAAATGCTGTTCAACCATTGGTCAGACATTAAGGGGGTAAAAACGCAAATCCCGGCAATTCCTACCTGAGCCTCCGCCATGGAGCATCGGCAGGTTATTTTCATGCTGCTGTTAGTCTGGAGAGCATATCAACAGAATCTAGCAGACGGCGCATATGATTATATAATCAGACAACGTGCGTTAAAAAACATTATAACACATATAATGAGAGACGTTCCGCAGTAAGGAGGTGGCTCTGACTTTTATGCACAGTTGAGCATTTTTACTTTACACGACACTGTTCAACACTTCATTCTGCTTCACTCATTCGCTAAAGATTTTGAAGACATCCGCGTTCTTTTGACACGTAAATACTTCCTTTGTTTTGGTGCAGACTGCGTTCACACCAGAGATGATCCGCTCCAGAGTTCAATAGCAAGCGGTCCGAGACCACCTCTTTTAGTTCACATTAGAGGTCTCGGACTGCGTTCACACCGACCCAAATGAACCGCACCAAGCGGCTAAACGCACCAGGGTCCGATTCAAACAGACTAAACAAGGCTGGTGTGAATGCAACCTTAGTTTATGCTAGGTTTTCTTATTATATACACTTACACAAATATTTTTAGGTTAACATATCCAGCAGCCGTATATATAAAGTTATTCAAATGAGCTCTAAATCTCTACATTTACCAGTTGTGATAAAAACACGTGAATTATCATAATAGTAACCCAATATATACTGTATATACCATTCTTTGATATTTAGCCTTGCATTTTTTTTAAATCAGTTTTGTGGGTAATGGTAATTGATGAGCTGGCACAAATGGGAGCATGTCCCCCTCTCTGGATTGTTCTGGTGGATGTGTGTGGCTGCTGTGAGACGGCCTTGGAGCCGGTAAACGGGTGAAGCAAGGCGGCTGCTCAGGGACTCCCAGCTGTCTGTTGGTGCAGGAGCCATCTGGAGGAGCGGAGACACAGCTCGTCTGGCACGCGTCCGCGCTGTTACACAAGACATCATGCACTCACACAAGCGCTGCCTCACGGTGACTCAACTCACACGCTCCTATCTCCAAACCAGTGCAGAAAGTGCTGGCTACATTTCGGTCACAACAGGTGCTCTTATCTCTGCTGCGTGCATTTTTGTGCCTTTGATGTTTCTCCCAAGACTCCTACGACATGTTTAACATTGAGTTTGTGGGAAAGCACTTAAGGTTGAGGAATTACATCACAAGTTATTAAATCACTCTCTAGGAAGATTTACAGCCAGTTTGGTGCGTGTGTGTGCATGTGCAGTATGCCTGTTTGTGTGCATCCATAAATCTGTTGAGTGTGTGCACACTTATTCAAAGTGATGCTGTGTGAGAGAACAAAGGAACAGATGATGATGTATTTGGCCTCCTGCCACACACTAGAGGAATATTCAGTTGCCTTCACACACACTCCTCTTACAGTGTGTGTTGGGACGTGAGAATCTTTCCTGCTCTGATCTCTAATGTTGGCAAATATTCCCTTCATCTTAATCTCTTTCACTTCCATTCCCTTTCTTTTCCCAACAAATCACACCCTTTCTAACCCGAGGCTTCCTTTTGATTTCCTGCTCTCTTTATCCCTTCACTTTGCTTCTCTTCAATCTTTTTACCTGTTTGTCGCTGGCTTCTCTCTGTCCCCTCGCATTTTTTCTCTCCTCTTACTCATTCCTATGCTCTTTTTCTATTTCTGTCATCACAGTGAGTCAGCTCTCACTTTTTTTCCTCCCCCCTCAGCCCCTCCCCCCTCAGTCCCTCCTCCCTCAGTCTTCGCCATCATCTCTGGGTTGGAAATCGAATAAAGTTACCTCCCAGTAATTTTGACACACACACACACACACACACACACACACACACACACACACACACACACACCACACACACACACACACACACACACACACACACACACACACACACACACACACGCTTGGTCCCGCCCCTGCTGAGGAATGCACATATCATCTCCACCCTTCGTCTTTCCTCTCTTTTCTCCTCCATGCTTTTTCCTCCACTCTTCCTCACTCTTTCGCCTCCTCCTTCACGCTCTTCACAGTATCTTCACCTCTCTTCCTCCCACCTCACTCTTTATCTCGTCCTCTCTTTCTGTCTGCCCTCCCTCATCATAACTCCTTTCCTTTCATATTGTTACAACCCTAGATTTAAAACCGGCATAACAGACATTCCTTATCTCATGCTGGTACTTGAAGATCCAATAAATAATGCTATAATAATCTGCAACGCTATTATATTAAATATGAATGTCTTGTTGTCTATTGCATTATGATTATGATATACATTATTGTCTTTTAGGGAAATTAGCTCTGGACTCTGTCCTGCGACTCCACAGAAGTAAACAAATCATGCATACTACTTAGTACACGGTTGCACATACACACAGACAAACCTACTGACAATGGTGACCTTTTGCACAACCCTCATGGCCAATATCTACATCTGTACATTACATTTGAGTGCTGAGAAGCTTGATGGACATAGGCAGGAATGAGTGTATATTTAAAAAAAAAAATATTAAACTTAATAATGTATAATTATTTCGAAACACTCGCTGTTCCCAGGACCAAAACAGTCGGTTTAAGTATTTTTTTTGTCATATACAGTTTTACTTTATTGTTGTTTTTAAGCCTGTCTGCGTTTAAGGCAGGGAGAATGTCTAATACAAAAATAACTATGTGACGTTAAATGTAATTCGGCATGTTATATTCTGGTTATTGTGTGATTGTGTCTTATTAAAATATACCAAATTAACAAGAGGGAGTGGCTCTACTGTTGTAGCGCTGCTGCTGCTGTTCGGGAGAAAGTTTGTCTTACATAACTACTTTCTCTCTGCAGATAAGTGAGTGTGTGGGTGGGGATTTTAATTTTGTCAGTCAGATTAGATGGCAGTCTCTGTTTTGTTGTCCCACTGAGCTTTAAATTCCCGTCCTCTCCCCCCATACTGCCAGTTGCTTTCTCGTGTCTCCCTTCCCACATCCACTAATTTCCTCTCCCGCAGCGTCTCCTCACTGCCACCACACTCTCCATCTTGTCACTGGTCCTCTCTCTCAACATTTCACTCCCACTCTCAGACTCTCTCTCACGGGCCCCTGTCCTTCTTCATCATCTCCTCACTCTCCATCTGGGCCTGGGGAGCCGTTTTGCCACAGAACTAAATGCTGTATAACGGACACACCGTGTTCTGAAACTGTAAATCTACTGACCTGAACACAGATGCTCTATTAGGGCTGGTCAGTGTTGTCTGTCTCCTTTGTCACTTTTAGTGCACATGCTTGCTCTGGTCTCTGTTGTGTGTGAGTGTGTGTGTGTGTGTGTGTGTGTGTGTGTGTGTGTGTGTGTGTGTGTGTGTGTGTGTGTGTGTGTGTGTGTGTGTGTGTGTGTGAGCGTGTCCACCCAGTTTGTTTCATCCCTTTGAACACAGCAGGTAATTACAGTGTTTCATGCTGAAAGAAGAAAAATGAAGGAATGTGTGGAATGCTAAAGGGAAAAGTGACTTTATCTTTTATTTTTGTTCATTTTTTTCTCTATTTGCTCTCTATTTCAAACTGAAACACACACATTTTGTCTCTCTATCCCTCTGCACTCCTAACAGTGGTCAGTTTGCACTTAATAGACATATACACTCAAGCAGAGAGCAAGCAGCCGTTAGCATTCATGACTGTAACCATGACATCCAGGGATCAAATCGGCATAACTTTTTCCATTCTATTACTTAAAGGGGACCTATTATGCAAAATGCACTTTTTGATGTCTTTTATACATAAATATGTGTCCCTGGTGTGTCAGGGAAGTCAATAAGTGTCAGAAAACAAAACCCTCTCTCTTTTCCTCCGTACCCACATCTCTAAAAAAGAAAAGAAAAAAGGAGGTGCTAACAAGCAGATCCAGAATTTTAGCTCCTATTACGTCATTGGCGACATCCGGCCGACGTGACACGTCCCAACCATGGATGTATAATAAGAACTGGATACAGCGTGGGAGGCGGGGCCTCGTTCATTCCTATGAGAGTTGCTCATTGGCACATGAAGACAAAATGGCCCAACTTTTGAGAGAGCGAAACGTCACGAAAGTATTCATATAATCATATAGTCCGTCCTTATTGTGCATCCATGGGTAAAGGTAAAACTCATGTAGTACTGAACACGTCACATGAACGTGCAGGGCGGCGCGGTCCCGTGGGTTGGATCCGCGTTCATAATGCAGAGGAATATAGCTCTCAGGATAACGTTATTAGCACATTTTACAACTTGAGGACCGAATGTTTTAAAAAAAAGTCTCACAAGAAGCGTCTAAATGAGCACTGAGCGAAAAAATGCTAACGCACTTAGCACAGAACTCACGGTAGAAATACTTTATTACTTATCGGATCTGCACAAACAAGATATCAGCTAGCAAGATGAGATTCCACAGATTATAGGGGTATAAGTATCATCACTGAGCGATCAAAACCCGCGGCAGGGGAAGCAAACACATACATCACACTACGTAGCATTACGGAGCATAAACGGGACAT